CTAGGGAATATGCATGTGAAGTGTTGTTCATTTTCTTCGTATTTATCTTGTTGTAGTCTGTTCCATGTTTGTATTACTAATTTTTTCCAAAGTTGTCGCATGAATACAATATTATATTGTCCTCTATATAAGTCAGTAGCTCTTGGGTTTGCTATTATTTCACCCATATCGTCTATTCTAATATATCCTGAATTCTTACTTCCAGAGAAGAATCCGGTTGTTAATAGTTCGATAGGTACATAGCTTTGGATGTTTTTCATAAATGTATCGTAGTATTTGGGCCAGTTTTCGCCATTAAATTTCATTCCTTCCATTACTTTGGTAAAGTCTATTTTGTCAATTGACGGGAATTCTGTTGTAGTTCCGTTAAATGTTGCCATTTTGTTAGATTACAAAGTTAGGTGGGAATATAATTGGTTTTACGTTTGCGTGTCCACAAAATCTAATATAGTCAATTATTGTTAAGTTATCTGATTGTAATAGTAGTTGTAATGATGTTATGTCTTTTGTTGCGTGGCTTGTTATTAGTGTGTCTGCTCTTGCGGTTAGTGTTAGAGCATTGGTGTTTAGGGCTAATAGTGCTCGTTCTGTTATTAATTTTACTTTGTCAAATTTTAGTCTATCTAATATTACTTCACTATTTAGTATAATGTATGTCGACTGTTTGTGGTGATTAAGATTTCTTGCAAAGGATTTATAATATGTCGAATGTTGTTGGTAATAGTAATAACTAAAAGGGTAATTTCTTTCGATTATTTCTCAGTAGTTTATTTGTAGTCCGATGTTCATTTAAGTTGATACTTTTCCTTGGTTGCTTTAATTGCTTCTTCTAAATTGAGTTGGAATTTGTTGGCTACTTGTTGTAGGTATTCTTTAGATTCGTTAGATCGTATTGCTATTACTAAGTATGAATATTTTTCAGATAGTTGTAGTGTAATAGTTTTGTTATTGTTTAATAGTAGTTTTACTCTTGAGTAGAACTTTAGTTCTGTTTCGTTTAATGGTACGTATTTAGTTTGTTCTTTTGTTAATACTTGTGTTGTTAATTCTTCAAGTTCTTTTGCTAGTAAGTCGAAGTCAATTTCGTATTCTTCGTTGATAAATCTATCTCTTTGTATCTTCTTTGATGGTGTTTTGGACATTGAGGGTCCTTACAATTAGGTGAATATGATAAGCTAATACGTGAGTGATAAGATAGATACTTATCCAGCGTATTGTTGTTTCAAATAGTCGTATTATATCCGGGTTAAGAGTTATGAGTATTATTGATCTCTCAGTCATCCACTGTATGGTTGCGTTGGATAGTTCTGATAAAACTATGTCTCTGATAGGGTCCACTTTTAATTGTTGAGTTGTTGGTAAGTTGGGTCGAATGGTTTTTGTTTTTCTGTGTATAATATTATTAATATTCTATTATAAAGTAGTAAGGTGTATTCTTGAATAATATGGTCGTTATATATTTCGTTGATTAATAGGTAGGTTGCTTTTGTTGTTACAAGTATAATTAATAGTATTCCAATTATTATAGATGTTGTTACTAGGTATAATATTATGAGTATAAGTATGTCTGTTTGTAAGAGTATGTCGACGGCTGTTCTTTGAATAAGTTGCATTAAACTGTTGGGTTTGTTACTACAGGTATTGTATTGATTGTTTGATATAATCTATCTGCTTCTTTTCTTTGTTGTTCGATAATTCGTTCGTTTTCTAATATTCTTTTTCTGTAATT